TCAATGTACAAAAGTACCACTGATCCCCTTCAGTCAGGTGGATCAGAGATATTTGGAATATATCACACATTGATAATGCAGTAAAGTTCATTACGTTCACACAAAGATAATGTAAATGTAGCTAATATAAATACTCTGGTTAGGTTATGTAATCCAGTCAAATTAGGCTACTTTAATAGGAGCATGTCACTTTTGAAGCATATACATGTTATATGAGAACAGTGTAGTTCCTAAAGAACTTCTTTTAACAGAAGCAGAAAAATCAAATCAAATTATTCAGAAATGATTAGCCATCTTCATTTTATGAGATACAAAACATTCATTAAGATCTCAAAACGTAGTTAATTATATTATTCTAATCCAATTTATCATTTAAAGTGGTTTTCTCAATTTTATTTTCTAAGATTTTTTAAACACCCGTTATTTCTCAATTACAGCTTCTTAATTGTGTTCCTTCAGAGCACTTAATTCATAGCTTCAGTATTACTTTCAACAATGATTTCTCTATCCTAAATTGATGAAACCTAAGCACTTAAATATGTTCCTTCCTAATTTTTGGATATTCTAATACTACATACAAAATCTTAACCTCAACACTGCTAATTATGTTCTCCTATAATATAAATACCCCCACCCAAACCAACTTTAATACAAAAGCATGATTTGTAGGGAAATTTCGTTATTACAAATAGTTTAGTGCATTTTAAACTTCAATAATATTGGGAAGTATTATTAAAAATTGTAAAACAGAAAAGGAAAATGTGATTAAGATCACAGAAAAAGGAAAGTCTATCTTCCAGTTCTTTCAAAAGAGAGAAAAGCATGTAGTTGTACAAAAAAGTAACTATGTGAAAATTTGCAGCAGAACTTTCATCTGAAGTGGATCCATTTATTTCACAAGAAGAGAATTTTTTCTTTTAATTGTCATGTGGAGCTTTTAAAGACTTTTTAATATTCCAAATACATTTTATTTTCAAATTTCTTCACTTATCTGAAAAATTATTTACATTTGTCACTGTTCTTGAGCACCAGTCCGAATACAAAAAGAAGGGTTTTTAAAATTTCTGATAAAAAATTATTTAAATCTGATTTAATCTATAACATCATGCAAATCCGGGTTAGTTTTAATCACTGCAGTGTATTACACAAGTGGTCTTATTCCCATTACATTCTCTTAGTTATCTTTAAAAAATGTATTGCGATGCTTGATTTCCCCCCCTAAAGATAATCAAAAACTGTTGAATTAAAATACCCAACTGTTATTGAATTTACTCATTGGATAAATTAACACAAAAACTAATATTTATGATTAATATTATATTTTACCAAGTTGCAATTATTGGCTGCAGTGATGTGGCACAAGACAAAACTGGTATTCCCCAAAATCCCTCAAAGGCAACTGGCAACAAAGTCTCCAGACCAACTGCCTGTGGTGATTTCTATGTACTGTTGCAGTTATGGTTTCTAAAACAAGACTTCTTTTTTTATTTTAATAAAAACCCCAATATATAACATTGATGAATGAAATTTTGAAATCTCAGTTTTAAGAATCCTAAATTAAGTATGGACAGCTTAATGTTTTGGTTACAAATTTCGAATTTAAGTGCTATTGTGTGTAAACTGTTTCATTTATAAACTGAGTCTGAGAAACTTTCCAAAAACTATTATATAGATACCATACACTTAAAATAGGATACAAAAGTGAGAGATTTTGCAAGGAAAAAGAAAAACTGCAGGCATTGCTTGTGCAGGAAGCAAATATCCCCTTCTCCCAGGGGGGAGTATTATTTACATCCAGGTATGCCTTGTTTGGGAACTGAAAAGGCTGCCAAGCTTGACTTTATACAAAAAGATGAACCCTAAGAATAATCTCTTAAAAGTATTTCATTGTTGTACAGATCTTCAACTTTTTATGAGCACTCTGAATAAAGCTTTTTGCAACAGGAGTTTTATTCACACCCTCATTTCAGGATGTATTTTCTATTTAGTTCTTTGAAAGAAACGACAAAAATATGCATTTCAACAACGTATTAAAAATTACTTAAATGAGTTTTTTAAAATAACTAAATTTAATTGTTGGTATAAATCATCAAAACCATAACAAAAATATCCAGTTCCATATCATAATGTTATGACATGTGTACCTCTTTTCTAGCTACATGGCATAAGCATGGCTACATGTGTGCACAAACACACTGATTAAATGCAAGATCTTTCTCTTTTTAAAGCACATAATTCAAACACCCAAAGTAACTTATTGTATTTGGACAACCAGGAAGAGCATGTAAATTCTCACAGTAACTAGTCTGGTCCCTATCAATTGGCCTAAAAGCTCCAGAACAGTCAAATAAGAAGGTACTTTAGGACAAGTTCATCAAAGTATTTTAATCCAAGCTGATAAAAACGTTTAAATCTTATTTTTTGTTTATTACATATAAACTGCAGATTTTTGCCTATTTTTTTCCTTCAATGGAAAACAATATTTTGTGTTACTTGTACATAGACGCACTACATAAGAATTTTATAGTGCCTATAAATGCTGATTTCACCAAAAAATACCTAAATGTTGCCTATTAATGCATTATTTTCATCAAAGTGCATTATCCTTAACCAAAAATGTTAAAAACCCTTCATTTTTTGTATTTATCCCGCAGAGTACATAGAAATTTAAGAACTTTTAATAAACCTGCGAGTTTTTTCTGTTTTAGTGCCACTACAGTGCAGCTATTTCACATTATGAAATACATGCAAAATCACTTGTGGTGGAGTTTTTTTATTTATTTTTTTGTACACATAACTTTAAAACATTTTCCCTCTCCAAAACGGCTCTATATGTTTTTCTTAAAATGTTTTTCTCATATGTATCAAAGGGCGGTGTAAAGATTGGTGCCAGTCTTTATGTGAACACACTTTCTGAATACTGCAAAAAGTTAACATTGCAAAAGTACAATATTGAATACTGTGATATATATTTTTTAAAAGTTTTATTTGGGGTACAATTTCTGCTTGAAACTAATTCAAATTACAAAAACAATTCTGAAAAGTCGCTACAATTTTCTTAGTTTCCCTCCCTATGAATAAAACAAGGAATGCTTAAAAGAATGGTGCAGGTCTTATTTTTGTTGCTCATACTAAATTTTTATAATCTTAATTTTTTTATAGAAACGCGAGAAAGTAAGCGCTGTTGGAGCTCCATTGGTGTTAAGCAAGTTTTCAATTGTTTGTTAATTAAATGAAAAAACGGAATTATCCCGCATTTAAGTACCTGCTTGCACATAATTAAAAGCTAAATGGTAGCTACTGCGATTCACCCTTTTTATCTGAATTTCAATGACAGTAATAATGATAGAAAGGACTTCTACAAGGATTTGTCAGAACGATGTAAGCAAACATTCCATGAATGAAACTATATTATGTTACCTTCAGAAACTTGCTAAACAAGTACATAAATAGAAATAAGAAAAATTTATAATACCAACTTAAATGCCTATTTCTACTATTTTTTGGGCCTATTAATCCACAGCTTAATTATCAATCAACTCCAATAAAATAAAACTATACATAATTGGTTTAAATAATTTAATTTTGTTTGAACTTATTTAAACTTTCATATATTCAATCTTCTAAATGTCTGCATTTTGTACTCACAGTCACACACGACTGTACTCAAAGACCTTTGAAATTGCTTAGTCAACCTAAACTATTCTTGCTTAACACCATTATGTCCAGAGCATTTTTTCTAAATAAAATAATTGCATACGTGTGTTCTAAACAGCAACTATACACTTGCAAATGTATGTTTAGATAAAAGGCTAATTTAATACAAATGGTGTGGTGTGAAAACAGCACCGGGCCCATAGGGGTAAGTTTATTTCATTTAACAAATACCACATTCACAAGCAACAGTTGCTGTAAATTCTGCAATATCCAGTCAGAAGTTTAAATTAACTACACATCCTCTAATGCAAATGATCTCTAGAAATTACTTACTAGTTTTTAAGTTTTATAATTAAACATTATATTACCCTTTTTAATGGGTAAACTCCCCAAATCATAGATAGCATAATGAATTGATCATTTCTAATTTATTTTATTTTTTCAAAATGAAAGATGAATATTATATTTTAGGTTACAAGTTTTAAAATAATTTTAAACTGCAAACAACTTAACCTCTCAAATCTTTAAATAAGCAAGGTTCTGATATTCCAAGAGCTGGCATGTATGACTTCATGAACAAATTACTCTAAGTTAATTCCATCCAATATAAGCAAATTCATTAAAAACACACAAGACCCACAAAACAACCACCTGAATACGGTCTACTTAAATCGTCCCTAACGAAGGCGAGACAAAAATTTATATTAAACAAAATTACACATCAGGATTTGAATTTTTGAAAAGCGGGCAAACGTGCTACAAAAATAAATTTAAAAAAGGTCGCTATTTCTTAAGAGAAATTAATTTAAAACACTTGTCTTTGCACCCATTCCAACGTAGATTAGTCTTGTGTTCTCAACGCTAAATAGTCGTAATTTTGCGAAAATTAATTAATACGCATTATAACCGGAAAACCAATATTGAAATTGTGCGATTACGAACGACGAAGTTATTCGGTTTTGAGTTTGTTTTGCACTACGTGCAACTGCATAGTGAATGAGCCATGAAAACAACAAATCATAAGCTATTCAAACAAAGAATTAACCCACGCGGTAAGTATGCAAGTTCCGGCCATATAACGAACTTTTTGAGGGAAGTTCAATAAAACACACTAGTGAATGGGAATGATCAGAAATGCAGTATTTTAGAAAGACCGACTATTTGTATCACTCTAGATTAAATAGTTTACTTTCCTTCATTTTTCAAATAGCTCACACTTTCCGCAAACGTGCGGGTACAAAAAGCAGAGAAAAAACAAATTTCTCCATTCTAATAACAATCAAAGCTCGGCGATTACAAAGAAATACGAACAGCACACCTAATAAACTTCTAATAGTACTTACCTCAACCAAAGAAAGCTTTTCTGCAAATTATCACCACTTACAGTAAACAAAACTACGCTACACCAAATACAAAACTAATATGGCGGCACGAATCAGGCGACGATAGCGACAACAGCCCCGCCGATTCTGCGGAGATGCGTGATTCAAAGCAATTCAATGCTAACCTTCCAAGAGTGTTCACTCCGTGCGTCACACTTCACGTTTGGAGGCTTGTGGTTGGTGTACACTAATTGACATGTTGCCATTTATTCATTTGTTCGTAATTCGTGATTATGAATTCTTTCATAGTCCTCAGATTATTGTATACCAGAGCGTATTATACATCTGTAATTCCCATAAATGATATCACAGTATAACTGTGATGATATACACGATAACTTAAACTTGGAAAATGTTTTTACTTCTACTTTACATAATACTTGTTTGTATTTGTTTTCCAGTCATATTCAAATTATTTGCCTATAAAAATATTGTGTTTACACCTGAAAGCTGTGGTACTTCCGTAAAGTTAAAATGAAACAACTAATTTTCCACAATACTCATTTTTAGTCTCTTCTCTAAAATATTCAATTTTAGGACTGTTCATAACAACGGTTCTTGACAAATTACATCACAGTAATTGCTTTTATAATTAAGAGAACAAGACATGACTCATTCTGTTTTTGTTGTTGATGAAAATTAAATCAATTGGTTTTTAGTATCTATCTAACGTATTCAAGATAACACACTAATCAAATAACATGCTACAACATTTTCGATATTATATTTGAAACTTACCAGTACCTCAGTGAATTTGCAATGCACGTAATTTAAAACTTACGTAACAGCACTAATACGATCAGGGAGGTAAAATATAAGTAGATACTATGCAGGGAGGTTGTGTAGATATCGTAATTTTAAAAAAAAGTGAAAAACAAAAAAATCTGAATTACTTGTATATAAAGCACATTACGTTGTGTTGATCTTCCAATTTCTTTGGAGTAAATAAAAATTAAAATTTAAAGAAAGATACATTGGGATGAAGACAAGCTCCCAACTATTATTCAACTTGTTTCTCTTAAGAATATGTACTGTTCATTTTTTTACCATAATTTTCAAGAAGTATTTTTTAAATATCTAGAAATATACAGGACGTTATTACTGCAATAGAAAATTGCACTTAAGTAAACAATAAGCCTGACAAAATAAAAGCAAATAACATTAATTTTCTTCAGTTTTGTTTCTTTTCTTTTTCCTAATGTAAATTCACCCATGTAGAGCAGGGTTATGGAAAACAGTACTTGTAGCATGGTCACAGTTAACACGAGCCCAATGTAATAACATCATTATAACAGGAGAATGAATGTTTGGGCAAAAAACTTAAGCGAGATTTTCTGCAATGAGCAACTCTTTTAAAGCAGAAAATAATAATGGCAAATAAATTTTCACGAGAGAAGGAAAAATGGATGATCGAATCGATACATAAAATAGGTAATTGAGGGACCCATGTATGATTGTAATGACAGTCACATTGACAATACAACTACGTAATTTTCTTACTTCCATATCAAAAGGGATTTTGTTCCCACACTTAATAAAAAACGTTCTCAGAAATTTCATTTGAAGAATGTGAATGACGAAACATAAGGGATGGGCTGGAAATAATTTTGTAATTTTATTTATTTTGACTTTTGTAACATTTATTATTTTACATGCCCATTATCAGATTACAAGCTTTATTTGACACTGCCCTTGTTCCGAAAGTCACAAATTTTATGAAATAAAACTTTTATGACAACTGGTTCTGAGTTTGGGAAGGATTGAACACATTTTATAGTATACACATACTATTTTTAATGGATATGTAAATTAAAATAATTATATTGTGTATTTATATTAGGAATATTTCATCCATCATCTCATTTGTGAAACTCTTTGCATTTGTTTATCAGCTTCCGTCCATCTGGACGGGGCGTATCTCTCTCGCCCCTTATGAATCTATTCATTTACTCACTTCACTGCTGCCTCCAATTTTACAATTTTTCCTTATTTCTTTATTGGGACGTAATGATACCTACATACTGCAGATTCAAAATATTCTTAAGTCACCTATTCAAGTGGAACAGAGTAAAAAAGGGAGGAGATACCTCAAATGTTCAAGAATGTAGTCCGTGAAATAATGTACGTTATGTATTTTCACTTGTAAGGGTTACAACCTGTTTAAGAATAAATAAAAAGTAAACCTCAAGAGAGATGTTGAAAGCTAAATTCAACAAAACGTAGAACCCAAGAATGCAAACTGGCAGGTTAAATATTATCCTAATATTTTGAAACCAGCAAATAAGTTTCAGAATATAAATGAAAATGAATAAATAAATCAATAAAAAAATTTCCTTTTTAATTTTGGAACATAAACTTATTTTATAAAAAATCTTGCAAAATACAGCACACAAATCACATTTATCAACGCTGAATCAGTAGTAAATTAGGGGACAATTATCCTCCTATACCTATATTTCAAGCTTCACAGACTGTTCACAAAGGAATGTTTCCAATACACTCATCACCTCCCGAGATTAAACTTTTTTTGATATGTAGATAATTGAAATGCCAATGGCTGAATGTAAGAATTTTCTGTTAGGTAGTTGGGCGGAGGTTTTGCAAGTTTTTTTTCTTTCCGGAATGTGCTTTATTTTATTATTATTGCATAAGACCTTTGAAACAAATTACATTCAATAGAATTTTCACATCAGACCTTTGAAATTTCATAGATCAATGTTTTTGCGAGAAAGTTTTGAAGTTTTTGACAAAATGTCATTCAAGAATTTCTTAAAAAACTTCTGGTTTTACAAAGACCTGAAAACGTAATTTATATTTATAATAACTTTGTGTGACAGGTTAAAAAAAATTACAAATTTATAATTTTTGAAAATTGAACAGTTTCAATAAAATGGCACTTGTGCCACAGAATTCAGAGCATTGCCCTGTGTCCCATAAGTTTAAAAAAATATCTGGAGCATTTTTGCAAATATTTTGATTAGATATTTCTTGATAATGGTCACAATTGTATTAAAAATTATGTGTAAACTATTGATTTTGAAAACACTACATACAAGGAATTATTGAAAGGGGTAATATTGAACAAATATCATTATAGCATCTAAAATATTTAGATCTTAAACTATTGCAATTTTGAAAAATACAGATGTTATAATAAAAAATTGATTTTTACGTTTATAGATGCACTGAACTCTACAAAGAAAACAAAATAAAGAAAAGTATAAAGTTATTTTTAAGAAAATTTTGAAAAGGTGGGTGTTACATGAAGTACCCCTTAAATTTATGTTTCATGCGAATTCTTAATGACATGATAGATAAATTATTTTGTCATATTAAAACTGGATTTTAACTGGGATAATTTAAAATTTCTATAGATTTAGACAAGGACATTTATACATATTAGAATCACTTCATTAAAGATAGATTGATTGAGTAGTTTCTAGACAGGTCAGCTGCTAAGGTCACTAGTCCTGTAACAGTGCACGTTCTGTGTGTGTAAGGGTGATTTTCCCCTGCTGGATGTTGAGATCCGGCACTGACCTACATGTTGGCTTGCAGGATTTTCTCTAATCAAGGATCTCCTACCAGTGAGGCACTGCCCCAGTCAGGACAAGCACTCAGTTCCCAACATGTGTAGTGCAATGCTGGTAACTGTGTGTGTAAGGGTTGAAGATACGACAAGGAGGAGAAAGGAAAAATTGCACCCAAATCATGCTCATTTGTTATAGTACTACTCTGGCATTCGTCTGCTGTTAATCAGAAAAAAACATGGTCAGAGCAGCTGGCCACTAAAATTTCTCATCTAGACAGTGCTTGAGTAAGATCTAGCTCTCATTACACAGAAAATATTTGTTTTATATACATAACAATAATTGTTTTGTTAACCTAGGTTTTAAAGGTTTTGATATACTTCAAAAAGGCCACAATAATACTGTGCCAAAGAATTGGAAAATTTAGAATCAAATGAGAATATTTTTATAGTTACTTAATATTTTCTATTATTATCATGTCATAAAAATATTGCTTTAATATAAATGTTCTGAGAATCATTTTTAAGTATGTTTATCTAGAAATGGCCTTTTCAATTATTTGAAATGAATATAGAGACAATAATTTTCAAATTAAAAATTTAGAATTTCATACATTCAAATTGTATTAATTGTAATTCAGATATTTTCTTGGAAATCCAAAAGATCAATTACTTTGAAAGACTTGAAATAAAAAAGAGAATAATTCCAACTTCATCTGCATTAAGGAGGCTGAGAAACAACTACATTTTATAAAAAACAAATTTCTCTAATTTCCATTTCTGTTACTCCCACTTACTTTAGTCAACATCAATACAAGAGAATTGTGACATGAAAAGAAACTGCAAGTAAATTGGAGCAGATTGATGTAAATCTCCTAAATCAACTCTCATGACATACATTAAAAGTGTCACTAAGACAGTTAAATTAAAAGAATATTTAATACTTGAAGAAAGGAAACTGAACACTAATTACACCCAACTGATGTCAGGAAACATATTGCTAAGCAGTTTGTATGTTGTCATTCTTTTTCAATGAATCTTTAATATTTGTACAGTTAAGGGCAATTCATTATTTCTCTGAGAAATTCTTCTTCTGTTGACATATCATTGAGTGTGTCTCGAAAGAGATCTACACCAGACATATAATATACATGACAAAGATGGTAACATTTAAAAAAAATTGACTGACTGAAAGTTTAATTCATGCAGAGTGTATAATTCCAACATGCATATGATATACAAATAATATACTTTTTTTTCATTTTATTTGATGAGAACTAATTTCAATTCATAAAATAAATGGTGGTATTTATTTCAGGTTATAAGACAATGGTTTCATAATATTAATACAGTCCCTGTAGATGTCTCAAATTCATTAATGATTCTTTTATCTTTTTTGAAAATATATTTGGTGTACTTATAAGTTATTTTAAATATTACCTTGAATTTTTTTGTTTCAATTATTCTCTTCACTTTCAGGAGTAATTTTGCTATAGTTTCTAGATGCACAAAGCACTAAATATAAGTTACTCAGAAAAAGGAGGATATGAAACTATTACTTAACTCGATGCAAATATAAAATAATTTTCAATTTGTTGCTTGGATATGCATCGGGTCCAAATCTGTGTTTTAAATATTATTTAAACAATTTCACAATTACAAATTAATTTTGTTTGTCATTTTGAACCAAACTGTTTTCGTTTCCATTTTTTCAAGATGACTAAAATGAACTGAAGAT